ATCAGAATCTGGATCTGCATCACTATCCAGTGTTGATAGCATTCGTTTGACAGCTGCTGTGTCAGGCTCCTCCAACTGATCAGATTTTCCTTCTTCTGCATCCCCATTAATCTGACTGTCAGCCTCGTGCTTCTCTATTATCTTGCAAGGATGGACACGATATAGCAGTCCCCCATGCTTGATAACAATTATGTTGTCAATCTGTCCAACTACCACAGCAGGTCCTTGCCATGACTTGCTTTTCTCACGTTTGAAATAAACATTATCTCCATTCTTATACTGTTTATTCCTCCCTGCATACACACGTTCAGTAAGAGCTTTCTTGATGGTGCTGGTGTTCTCAAGTTGTACAAACTTCTTTCTTGCTGTATCCCTGGCGTTTATCATATTAGCTACCAACTTGCTTGTAGTTTCAGTCTTAAGGACTGATAGCTTCAGTCTTTCATCAAGTAAGCTGCTGTTGCTAGGATTGTAGCCGAACACTAGCTGACTTGGGGAGAATCCTTGCACGTTAGTCAGTGTGTTCTTGGCATTTACAGACCAGGAAATCGCAGTTTCCAAGCTACATCCTGTGTCTCCCATAGTTGAGTCTATCATCTTTCCCAGGATGCCATTATGGCGCTCAACCATACCGTTACAGAAAGGTGATTCTGCAGGACTAGTGGAGATAACGATGTCAAGTAGTTGGCACATCTCGTTAAACTCTTGATTGACAAACTCTCCTCCGTTGTCAGTTAAGAACTGACCAGGTCTTCCAAATACTGAGATCCAGACTCTGAATATTTTCTCCAGTATTTCAGTAGCTGTTTTGCTCTTTACACTGATCGCCATTGCATATCGGGTTACACAATCGATCATGTGCAAAATAGTATCCCCAGACTCAAGCATCTTTAGATCCATCGCAACTCTTTCGTTGAAAGCTTTCCCTGCAGGTAGAGCAACTTTTCTATGCGGTATCTTCTTACTCTTGTGTCTCAGGCATTGATCACAAGATTTTTCTATAAGATCAAGCTCTTTGCACACTTCGCTCTTCTTCTCCAAGCTTGACTCTAACACAACTTCTTTGATCTTGTTAGCAGATCCGTGGGCAAAATACTTGTGTAGATGTTCTGCCGTCTTTTTACTATTCTCCAAATCTACAATGTATGATGCTTGATCAGTTGAAGCTGGCTTAGTCTTTGGGCTTGGTTCTGGTTCATCACACTTGATCACTTTTCTGGCTTCGAAGGGGATAATCATGTGACCAGAATCTGTTATAACAAGCTTCTTTGTCCGTCCAAATACCTTGATTTCGCTCCTCTGGAAATCTATCTGACAGCCCATCTTTGACATAGTTGTTCTGGACAAGAGTAAGGTACGTCACTCTCCACAACGTATGTCCATAGCATGATATCATTCCCACAGATGGTTATGGGTATGTTCTTCCTCGTCGTACATATGATGGGGTCACTGTCACCAAATCTGAACACTTGATGACACGGCTCTTCTTGCACCAGTTTCTTCTCCCTAGTCGTCAGTGAATACTCAAACTTCGTCATCCACTGTTCCCCACAAACTGTAGCACTAGCGCCTGAATCCAACAAGGCACCGTTGTAGGTCTTATGGCACAAGAAAGTCTCACTGTTTTGGACGTTAGCAAGGACTGGAAGTATTGCGTAGACTTCTCAGCTAGTCTCTTGGGACAGTCTGCAATCTTATGTCCTTCACCCCCGCACCAGAAACAAACAAAGTTCTGATCCTTCCTGTTGTTCTGCTGGTTGTTCTGGACACTGTACTTTCCTCTTCCCCTGAAGTTGGAACCCCCTCTGCTGCCGTATCTGCCTCCTCTGTTGCTGTAGTTCCCTTGGTAATTACCTCTGCCTCTGTAGTCACCGCTGTAGTTACCTCTGTAGTTACCTCTTGAGCTGAAACTGTTTCCTGCCTTATAACCATGGTATGATCCTCTGTTTCCATACGATTTTGAGTCTTTGTTGTAGAAGGTCTCGTTCTCTGCCTCATCTGAACTAGTGAGCGATGTAGATGCATTTCTTGAGGAACAGTCCCCTGACTGATCAGTCTCGCTTGAAGAGTGTCGATTGTACATCACTTCTTGTTTAATCGACATAGCTGATGTTCCCAGTCCCGAAGAACCCATCAGCGTACCTGATAGTCCTGTTCCAAACGTTCTCTTCAAAGCTCCTTCCACCAAACTGAGCTCGAGCTTCGTCACTGTAGCTCTAATTAAGGTCATACTGTTCTGTTCAAGACCACTGTTCTTGAGTAGGAAATAGCCAAGGACACCATCATCAAACATGTCTGTCTTGTCGCTCATCTGTTCTGCTATTTTCTTCTTGTAGTGAAACTCCCTGCAGTAGTCTTCCATAGATAGATCAGCTGGTCTTTTATACTCCAAAAAAGCATCCAAAGCGTTAAACACTTGCTGGGTATTGTCTGGTAGGAACAGTTTGTCCATTTCTGCTATCAGTTTCTTTACTCCATCTTCTCCTTTCAAATCGTCGATTTTGAGTTGGATAGCAGCCTGCTCTGGTCTACCGCTCATACACGTTATAAGGGTAGCTGCTCTCTTGTTCTTAGTTGTGCTCGTTGAGACTTCCCATACAGTAACCCTTCTCTTCCAATCCCCATAACACGTTGTATCTGTTAACCTAGGGACTTTGTCTTCCCCCATGATTGATCTAATCGTTCCTTTCTGCTACCACTGTTAATTGTGTATTCTGATCAATCACGGGAGACAAAGTAAAACAAGTTGTAATTTGGGTTAGTAACTAAATTGGTAACAATTGGTTAAATAGGTTAGTAAATGAATTGTTAACAAATGGGTAATGGGTTAGCACACTAACGCTGCACTCACTATCACTGCACGTCACTCTACACAGACCTCAAACACAACTCTCACTCACTTAACCTCGTGAGTGGTGTGGTAATGTGATTACAAACAAATCTTCCCAAAACTGTAAATCCTTCTTAATAACAGTTCAAACTTCTTATAATAAACTACTTCTTCTAACTTCTTCTAACTTCTTAGAAACTAATTCTTCTATCACTTCCCCAGAAGTGATGTGAACGTGTTGTGATATTCCCTTACTCACAAACACTAGATCTTCTCTTTAGGTTCTTCTGTGTGGTCCCCGTGACACACACACACACTGGAACTTGACTTGTCTGGCTTTCACTCTTACAGCAGCAGACACTCACTAGAACTAAAAACAACCCTGTAAATATAAGAAAGTATGTTAGAAAGTAGTAACCCCAAAACTACAAACCTAGGACTAAAGGAACTACTACAAAGAAACTGAAACTACTACATAGAAACCAAAATAAGCTAAACATTACACTACCTGCCCTTCAGGGTTAGCTCTCGTTCAGTTCACCTGAATCCTCTATATTTACATCCTTGTTGTATTTACATGCTAAGGGAATGAGTGTGTGTGAAACAACAAAACATAACCACTCAGACATGTCTATGAATATAATAACTTAAAGGTAAAATATGATACAGCCTGTCAAAAACCCTCTTCGCATGATCCGTCGACACCGCCTGAAGGTGAATGCATAATAACGGATCATGAACGTACAGAATCAAACGTTAATAAGCTTGCAGCTTCCGATGAAAATGTATTCAACTTTGTGTCATGCTTGAATTGGTTTTGGACCTCTTCAATGCTTTTAATTTATTTATTATTGTTATTTGGTATTATGAGCTGATATGTATATATACATACGGTATCTAAAATTAAGCGTATAGCGAGCATATATTTAACAATTTTTAAGCAATAATGTATTGCGAGCAGCTGTAACTTAAATATCGCATAAAAGTCATATAATTATAACACAAAACTAAAATTTTATTGGAATATACAGGGTGGGCCAAAAGTCAGTACCCATACGTTGGCCTTTATAGCTCAGTCACTGAGTGCCCAATTTAAATACTTCCTTCTGGTATGACTTAGTACCACCACTGGTTCGAGGAATTTGTCAACTCGAAAAATATTCGTGTTCATTTTTTTCAAATGGAGGTTCATTTTCACATTTATTTGATAGTTTGGATAGTCGGATCAAGCTAAATGTTATTGAATTGTGTTTGGCAATTCGAATTACGTTTGTCCCGAAAGAATTAGAACTGTAGCTTCTCAGATGACCGAGATATGAAGCATAACGAGTTTATTCATTACGTGTGATCAGGTGATTGGTTTACCTAATCACGTGATAAGGTGACCCCGTTAACTACCCCGTTAAACATTATGGGAATTGTTAAGGGTGCCCAATTAAGGTGTTGTGTCACGGTGTCACATAATCACCCAGTCAATTTTGTTAACGAGATACAGAAAATGCTTGATAACTTCGTCATTTCTAATCCGTTTTGCCTCATGTTTTCAGATCATATGCAACATTTGATAATCTACCGTCTCTGAAAAAATTAGGCGTTCAGCATGTTCAGAGAAAACAATATAGGTGTTTCAATATTGAATGGGCGTGGTCTAAAATATTCGAATTTTCAAATTTTGACGACGGAATCCTCGAACCAGTAAGTACATTATGCCATCTGCAAAGCAACAGCTCTCAAATATAACACACGGCGGAGCTATTAAGGCCAACGTATGGGTACTGACTTTTGGCCCACCCTGTAGGTTAAACTAAGATAAAATTAATATCAGCCCCTTCGCCACTCTCAGCAGTCAACCAGGGCTCATAAAAGCTTAACAGCGCCTGGGTCCGTTCACCAACTGTGCTAATGTGAGTGGCGGTGTGGTAAAACCCATTTGAACAGCGTGAATATTTATCAAATATAAGCGCGCTAGCTGCTAGCATACTTGTATCATTTAATTTTTAATCAAATTTATTCGGATATATATTTATTGATTATGTATTGAATTGGTGATAAATAATAAAATTGTCTTTTCTCAAAAAAAAATTGTCTTTTCTCAAATGCCTTGTTTATTCTTTGAGTTAAGTCCAAGTTAACTTTGAAGTTTATTTTCTCAATAAAACACTTATTTTTTAGGATATAGGATGAAGATCAAGTTTAACTCCTTCGATGTTGCATGCATTGTCAGCGAACTTAAATCAAAAGTTCAAGATCTGCGTGTTATCAATGTCTACGACATAAACAACAAATCATATATCATCAAGTTTGGACAAGAGGTGAAATCGATGTTGTATATAGAATCAGGTTCTAGAATTCATTTGACTGCCTTTGAATGGCCAAAACAAATGATACCTTCCCCATTTTCGGCTAAATGTAGAAAAGTTATGAGGAACAAGAGGTTAACAAGTGTCTCTCAAATTGGTTGTGATAGAATTGTAGATCTGAAGTTTGGAAGTGAAGAGTTTTCTTCCCATTTAATTATTGAACTTTATGACAAAGGAAACATATGTCTTTGTAACGATCAGTATATGATCACTGCTATATTAAGGACAAGAGAAGATGAAAAGGAGGATATCAGATATGCAGTTGGTCATTTCTATCCTTTTGAAGTTTGTCAGACTTTAACAAGTCCAAACATGGAAATTATGAACAGTAATACAAGTGACATTAAACCCAACACACAGCTTAAGCGGTGGCTTAATTTCATGTTTCCATATAGCATTCCCCTCATAGAACATTGTTTGAGAGAAAATGGTATGGATGCTAACGAGAAAATCAATGAAAGTAGTGTCTTGGACAATCTTTCCCAAATTCAAAAATCAATGGAAGTTGCACACTGCAAGTTTAGTTCTCTTCCGTTGACATTAAAGAGTGGATTCATATTCTTCAAAAAGGTTAAAAGCAGTGCCACTGATTCAGTAATGGACGAATTTCATCCAATTGTGTTTGATCAGTGCACATCAATGGAATCGAAGGAGTTTCCATCATACAATGATGCTATTGATGTATTTTTCTATGAACAGGAGACCCAGAAGATTGAAATAAAATCAGTGCAGAAAGAAAAGAATGTCATGAAAAAGTTAGAGAATATCAAAACTGATCATGAAAATAGAATAAAAGTCTTGAAAAACGTGCAAGAAGATTCAGCCAACAAAGCTTATTTGATAGAAGTTAACCTAGAATGTGTTGAAGAAGCGATTAATACCATTCAAAATCTGGTTGCTAATCGTCTGTCCTGGGAAGAGATAGATGAACTGGTTCAAGAGGGTAAAGAAAGTAATCACCAAGCAGCTCTGGCAATAAGAAAAATAAACTTACAGAACAACAAAATGACTATGTCACTTAAAGATCCATTCGAAGAAGAGGTGGTTGCTGTTGATGTTGACATAGATTTGGCTATGGGTGCTTACAGCAATGCTAAACAGTATTTTGACCAGGTGAAACAGTCTGCTGTAAAAGAGGAAAAGACAATCCAGTCATCTGCTGTTGCTCTGAAGAATGCTGAAAAGAAAACTCAGGCAACAATAAAAGATATAAATATTGTAGCATCAATAAAAAAGGCAAGAAAGATGCTTTGGTTTGAGAAGTTTTTGTGGTTTATAAGTTCAGAAGGTTACATAATTATAGGTGGTAGGGATGCCACACAGAACGAAATTTTGGTAAAGAAATATCTCAAGAAAAATGATTCATATGTTCATGCTGATATTCATGGTGCCACATCGATCATTGTTAAGAACAAGTCAAGTGATCCACTACCACCAAAAACCATGATGGAAGCAGGATGTTTTGCTCTTTGCCAAAGTTCAGCATGGAATAACAAGATTGTTACAAGTGCATACTGGGTTCATGCTGAGCAGGTTTCTAAAACTGCCCCAACTGGAGAGTACTTAACCACTGGAAGTTTCATGATAAGAGGAAAGAAAAATTACCTCCCCCCAGCACAACACATTCTTGGCTTTTCTGTGCTATTCAAAATCGATGATGAAAGTGTGGAAGAAAGAAGAAAAGTTTCTCAGGAGCCATCTTTCCATAACAACGACAAAGTTGAGATTAAAATTGAAGCCAAATTGGAGACTGATGTGCCAGAAGAAGCAGATCTTGAACTAGAACAATCTGATCCTGATAGTGATGCGAATGAAAATACATTGATCAATAAAGGTGATGAGGATGTTCTTGAGGAACTGTTTGATAAATACAATCTTCACATATCGGCAGTGCCGGAACCAGAAATAGAGCAGTCTGAATTCACTGAATTCGTTGGAACTGCCCACAATCCTTCTTACAAGAAGAAACAAGAACCAAAGAAACCATCTCATGGAAAAAATGTTTCTGAACCAAAGAAGTGTGATAACCGGCCTAAAAGAGGGCAGAAGGGGAAGAAAAAGAGAATGGAGAAGTATGAAGACCAGAGCGATGACGAGAGAGAGGCAATGATGGCTTTATTAGGGTCAGCTGGTAATAAAAAAGGCAAGGGTAAGACTGGGTCTAGTAACTCTAAATTGAAGTACCGAGCTACATCGACTGCCAAAAATGTTGTTGCAGGATACAAAGGGGAAGTTGAGAAAGTAAAGCTTAGTGAAGCAGACAGGGTATTGCAAACATTGACCAAAGACTTAAAAGAAGAAGAAGATGAAATTGTAGAAGTAAAAAAAGAAGCCAATGAACCTGACAACACTGATAAAGAAAATGTTGCAAAAACTATGGGCACTGAAGATGTTCAACCCAAAGTACAGCCATCGAAACCTGCTCCAACATTAGAAATTGACTTAAGTGATAACGAGGATGAGCCCATTGACATTCTCGATTCTCTTGTACGCAACCCATTACCTTCAGACACTATTTTATTTGGAATTCCTTTTGTTGCTCCATACAATTCCATGTCGTCTTGTAAATACAGAGTGAAATTGACACCTGGTGCAACTAAGAAGGGGAAAGCATGTAAGACCATTCTAGATATGTTCACTAGAGACAAAAATGCTTTGTTACAAGAAAAGAATGTGTTCAAGAGTTTGAAAGATGTTGATATGACCGTAAATATTCCTGGTAAAGTTAAGATTTCTGCCCCAAATTTGCATGGACACGGGAAGAAATGATTTTTGTTTAAGTTATTTGATTGCCAAAACTGTGCTGATATTATTTTTAGTTCTTATCATACAAGCAATGCAAATGGTATCATATTGATATATTTTGTTTTTTAAAACTATTTGTGTTATAATTTAAAGGCTTTTATCTCCACATTCTAATTATTGTTGGCTCCTGTTTTCTAAAATTAATTGATAACCCTCATGTTTCATGACTATTGGAAATTTCTCTGTATCGAATCAATCTTGTCCTCAAATACTCATTACATTTTGATATCTGAGACATGTAGCATGCAAAATTTTATTTCAAATTAACTGATATCTGCACATTTCAAAGCTAGGGCAACACTCCTTCAAGAACATGTCGAATAAATGGGAAGTAGCTGGCAAGAGCAAGAAAGCTCCTCTCAGTAAGAAAGCTGCTAAAAAACAGAAGAAAGAACTGCCTACTGTTGCTGCTGAAGAGGAATCCTTCGAAAACTTTGGCATTTCTAGTGAGTTACAATAATATGTACTTACAACCTACCTATATGCAGATATTGTGACATATTATATGATTTAATGTCCAATGATCACATCGTAGACTTTTGTACATCGGATACTTTTGGTAAAATTCTAATGTCATTGTCCGATATTTTAAAATTATCTCTCTAAAAAGAAATAGCTAGAAAAATGGGCATCGTGCCAAAATGATAATCAATGCTTATTTCAGATCCCCTGAAGGAGAGTAAGAACATCTACACGCTCATGAAAGACGAGTCATCAGACCAAGATGAAAAGAAGCGTTCAGATAACAAGGAGAACCTGATAACTAAGCCGCGTATCTCTGGTAAACTGAAGCCTAAAAAGAAGGGCTCTCCTGTTGCCCAAGTGAAGAGAGCCGAACGTGAGATCTTGTTGGAACAACTTGAGTTGGTGAGTTTCTCGTCAATTAACTATTGTGTCACTTAATTGTGCTAAAAATGCGAACTATTTTAAAACAATGACATCTACTATGGCTATGTACAAAGGACTAAAAATTCGTGTGTAGTGAAACTACAGCAGGGGGGGGGGGGCAAAAGTCAGTGTGCTAACGTTGGGTCTTATACCCCCGCCGTGTTTTATATTTGAGAGTTGTTGCTTTGCAGATGGCATACTGTACCTACTTCCTTTTGAAAACCCGAATATTTTAGACCACGCCCATTCAATATTAAAACACCTATATTGTTCTCTCTGAACATGCTGAACGCCTAATTTTATCAGAGACGGTAGATTATTAAATGTTGCATCTGATCTGAAAAAAATGACGAAGTTATCAAATGACGAAGTTATCAAGCATTTTGTGTATCTCGTTAACAAATTTGAATTTGTGACACCGTGACACGACACCTTAATTAGGCACCCTTAATGAACAAATAACAATTCCCATAATGTTTAACGGGGTCACCTAATCACTTGATTAGGTAAACCAATCACTTGATGACTTGATCACACGTAATGAATAAACTCGTTATGCTTCGTATCTCGGTCATCTGAGAAGCTACGACTCTAATTTTTTCAGGACAAACATAATTCGAATGGCCAAACACAATTCAATAAAATTTAGCTCGATCCGACTATCCAAACTATCAAATAAATGCGAAAATGTACCTTCATTTGAAAAAAATGAGCATGAATATTTTTCGATTTGACAAATTCCTCGAACCAGTGTAGTGGTGATAGTAAGTCATACCAGAAAGAATTAGTTCAATTGGGCACTCAGTGACTGAGCTATTAAGGCCACCGTTTGCACACTGACTTTTGCCCCCCCCCCCCCCTGAATGTTGAAACTTGCACTCTTTCTGGTATGACTTGCTATTATCACTCATTCAAGAAATATATCAAATTAAATAATAATTGATGAAGATGTTCATTTTTTCGAATGATAACTTGATAAATTCGTCGTTTTGAATCCGTTTCCAGCCATCTGTTCAGATCATATTCTATAGATCTCATAAGGCCGAAAATGTAGATGGTATACTATAGTGTTTAGTAGGGAGCATCACGGCTCTTGACAGACAAAGTGAAACATGGCAAATGACTTGCGAAAACTTAATGAAATAATCGACGTTTCGTCACTCATTGGCCTTAAAAGTTGAATTACTAAGATTACTGATTATAAAGTACAATTACAAGGGTCTCTCTTAAGTAGACGAGCCTAATTATGAGAACTAAACAAGTAAGTAAGATGGAGCCCAACTTGGCTACAATTGCACGGTAGTTTAGAATAATATGCTGCTCTAAAAATAATACATCCAAACGAGAGGTTCAAATATTAAGTTCCAACAGAATTATGCAGTAACCAGAGCATAATTCTGTGCTCATTGATCACGTGAATAGCATGGGTACGTGACTCGTTTAGGCGATGTTTTAGACTGCGTTCATTTGTCTGTGAAAGTAACCATCTGAACTTAGTATCTAAAATTTGTTTTTCGCGATCAATCAGCGTATTTAACCATGCAATCCGATCTTAAAACCATTCTCATTTCAGATTGATATCAGTGATATGAAGGCGCTGATAGGAGATGTTAAAAAACGTTTTCCCAATCACCCTCGAGTTTGGCTGAAGGACATCCAGTCTTACTTCCACATGAAGATCACTCTTCGGGAGAGCGATTCAGGTAATACTTTGACAAAGTTTATTTTTAATGTTTTGAATGGGTTGTAATACTTTGATATAGCAAAATAAATTCATTGGCTGACTAATAATATGAGTTACACTATTTAATGCCAAACTCTCTCTCTCTTTATAGTATCCCACATAGAGTATTTAACAGTAAATGAACTTGTGCCAGGTCTGATGATGTATGAAAGTGCCTACCCCTACAACATGGTAGAGACGGAGCTGCAGGACTTCATCTCTGGCATATTCAAAGAGATTCCTGACAATGTTATGACTGCTTTTTACACTGAACTGCTTGATGGACTTGCAAGGGATGTCAGAAATGGTAAGTAAAATAACTCCAGGAAATAATGTTTTATCATTATTCGATGACAGTTTCCCAAAGAGGCAGTTTAGAATCCAACTGATTGCACCTTGTCTTCTTTTCATGGAGCATCAATAATATTAATATGGATGTGGCCGGGCCCATAATAATTTGGCGACATTTTGATATGTTGAACCTCCCTAATCAATATACACGATCCTTATGACTGAGTGACGACCAGGTGCTGCTTCGAATACATAACACCCAAATCTTATTTGAACCCTCTTGTACATCATACGTCATCATACTTATGTAATTGCTTTGGCGTTGTTTTAGGCACCTGAAAGGATATCGATTGAGATATCGTTTTCATAATTTGAAAATAGGTTCAGACTTTAGAATGATACTCGTGCACTCGAATTTGACGGAAAAATTGAGCAAGATCACATATTAATTAAATCTCGCGATCACTGAGAATTTCGTGTGATAAAGGTCTGTCCTAAACTTCTGTACTATGTACTGTGTATCAGTGTAGAGGTCACACATAATTAACAGGCAGTTTCATGGATCACATGATAATCAGGCCTTATAAGGATAGAAATACTTCGTGTAATATAAAACTTCTTGTCACAAGTTCTATGCTAAACATATCCTGCAATTTTCAGATGCAACAAATTAGCTATGACTTATAACAAAATCGTGATCCTGCGACAAACCTGATATCATTCCAACTGATATCTTTCCAAACCGTATCTTAAAAATGTAGATCCAAAACTGCTATTCTCAGAACCCAGTGCTTAGTACTGATTAGTTAGCTAGGATCGCATAACTCTCCGTGTGTAATAACATATTATTATACGGGTGATGACAGAATCCCGTATGGTGTACAGTAATTGACAGACATATTTCTGACACTTTTCCCCGACTGGCTGAGGACGTGTCTTACAAACCCTCATAAATTAGACTATAAAGATTGGTTCATTTGTCATATAATTTTGATGATATGTTTACCTACTGTTTACATTGATTCTATGTGGGATATCCGGGTTGGACCTGTTATCTTTGCCCTTCCTTGCCTCATCTTCTTTCTTGGAAGTTGGTACCCCGAATTACAATTAAGTTTTCAGATAAATAGAAGTGTACGGTTTTTACACTAATGTTTGTTTCAAGTGCAACATGTGATACGGCAAGATTAAATTAATTTTTCGGTGGTTTTAAGTTAAGGGTTGAATCCACGCGTTATCGTGATTACCATTCATCAATCAAGATGTACTGTTTCACACTTTAGTGAGATTAGCGAGTCGGGCTTCCGAATACCATCTTAATGAGTGCTCAGATAATGTGATAGATGAACCTAGTGTTTGTTACAGAAAATGGAGTGATTCCCCTGACCAAAACATAAGCTACGGCTTCTGAAATGAACCCTTGGTTGAGGTTCACAGCCATGGTATGGTACAGTGCCACGTCAAGTCAAATTAAGACAATTACTTAAGGGCAACACCAGTACATCAACACAGAGGATTGCAGCCACCCAAAGTGGTACCACTCAAACCAGTCGCCCATATGGTATGGAGGGAGCCTTGTGGACTTAAAGGCAAGAGAAAGATCGCTAAATATGTGATTTTAGAACCGGTATATTATGTTTTGCAGGCGACAACTTTTTGTCAGGATAGTGGCTAATTATGCGTTAACTAAAAATAGCACATCTGCTACATATAAATGATGATGATGTATGTATCTTTTGTTTACAACTAGCAAGCTCAATAATATCTGTTTAGATTGTGATAATAATAGTACATTTAATAATACATTTACACAATGGCTTACTATTTTAATTATTTACGCTGCAAAAAGTTTGGCATAAAGAGGTGGAATGAAGTGGCTGCTTAATTTCATATTATATATCGACAAGATGATTAGGTCATATTTTTGATATTAAGTTAATGTTAAGTTATTGCAGAGGATAACTTGACACGTGGATTAAGGAATTGGCACTTCTAGAGCCGTTCTTGATTCCTCGTTTTGGAACATACGAAAACTTTCTGGAAACATCTAAAAATGCTCACTCTCATATCTCGTTCTCTCTCTTTATTTTCTATGACGCACTTATTATTATTTATTATTAAACAGGATCGTACACACAAACATTATTAAATTAATACAGTAAAATCCCGATTTACTTTAACTTTAAAGCATGTTAGTTAGATATCGTTCGATGGTAATTTCCTCAGAAATGAGGTCAATATGAACTTCCACTAAGGTTCAATATTTGCAGGAGCGTGTGGGTACCATCACAGAATACTACTCCAATGCATGGCACACAGTTGTCCTAAGACTGTGCACAGTAAAGAGGTCACCAACAAGCTACAGCACCTGATAACAGACAGTGTAGCCAGGACTAAAGAGTGTGTCGCCATGCTCTGGTGTCTTCAGATGGTACCGAGGAATAAACTCGACACTAAACTCAAAGGTACGTGACTTTCGAAGTGTTGATTTTAATTTTTTTATTCGAACGCGATCGAACTTTGGAGTTCCACTTTATGTAGTGACTCGATGAAAAACACAAGATGATAAAAGTTGTTAATTATGATGCAACGTATTATTTTATCTTATCTGTGATGAAATCACACTTTGCTCTATTTCGACACTCTACAAGATCCAGGCTAATCCATCTCAGATATGAGTCTACTAAAGATTGCGAGAGTTGGATGGCGCGATTTAAATCAATATAGTGAATGGTATCGGTTATTCGCGCGGCGTGATCGCGCGTTTTCTTATTCGCGTCATTCATGATGTGGCATAAGTAAACGGATTCAAAATGGTATGAAAATTTGAAAAATGCCCCTGAAAATCGCCAAATAAAAACATTCTGGATTTTATTGACCAAATAAACGTTTATATTAATCAGACCTTTTCAGTGTGGTTCACGTGGATGTTACCGATCTTACAGACTCATAAAACAGAACGACCAGTTCAAGATTACATTTTGAAATGCCTCGAAAATGTTGTCAGGTATGTAATATGTATGATCTCATTTATCGCAGTTTCCTTTTAAAAAATCGATTTGCGATGACGTGATTCAAGGGCGTTCAGAAAAAACATTTAATGTCACTAACTTTAGTAAATAAATAAATAAATAAATAAAGTCAATTTTTACAGCACAGCAATATATATCTAAATATCAGATCCTCTGTAATCATAATGTATAAAAAAAGGAGCTTTTCTCTGTGCTGAAGGATGAATCAAGGCAGATCATGGTTCTGTTAGCAGGCCACCCTAGTTATGGACAATACATATATATAAAATAATTAAATTATAATTTTAAAATTGTGTCAAGATTGAACTAAAACATAACTCAGGGTAAAATAGACGTATTCCCTTCGTCAAATTAACTATTTACAATACTAAACTTAAACGAACTCCGGGTAAAATAAACGTAATCCCTTTGTCAAACTTGCTATTTACAATAAGTTAATAAATTAATACGGTTGAAAATTATTTCATATTCAATAACAATGTAGCATCAATATAATTGATACAAATGAGGAGCATACAGTGAGAATTGCACATAACAGGAGGACTGGAGGTATGGAGCAATAATGATTGACAGTGCACCTTTCCACTGATGTTCCTAATTTCCTGTAATAGCTTAATAGGCATGGAAATACTTTGATTGCAGGGGATAGATTGGATTCACTTATGTACTGAGATAACTTAACCGAAATAACATAACTGCCTAGATACATTGGCTAGTGTTGGGTGGGATCATGAATTTATCGTAAGAGTTATCCCCTTGGTAATTCTCATCAGTTAGCAACATATTCATAAGAGTTTCTTTGTATAACTTAGAAAATTTCTTAACGTCGTCACACTCTCTAAGGGACTTTGGTAATATGTTCCAGGCCTTAGTTCCTAGATAGTTAAACTCCTTGTGAGATCTTGATTTAGGAGTATAAAGATTGCAGTTTTCTGCCTCACGTGATCCACCAGAAATATACGAGAATTTCCCGATAAAATGCTTTGGACATGTTTCATTGATTATACGGTACATATATGAGCTAAGATGAACCTGTCGTCTCAAATGGAGAGGAAGCCATCCCATATTTTTGTATACATTAACCGACCTCTCTCTGATGTTTACATCTAGGGCTATTTTAGCAACCTTTTTGTACATGATATCTAACTCTCCTAGTCGTTTTTTATATGTTCTTGACCAGATGGTGTCTAAGTAGTCAAAATGTGGCAACATAAGTGCATTAGCAAACATCTTCCTGAACTTAAGAGGGAGAAGTTTTTTTGATCTATACATAGCACCAATTCTTTTGGATATCTTTTTCTTAATGTTATCAATATGTTCATTAAATGTCAATCTGCTGTCAACTATAAGTCCAAGGTACTTATGGGATTTAGTTTCACAGATTACCAAAGTAAGGTCATCACAAATTTCAACAAGGATGGCATCAAGGTTAGGCTTAGAGTCAAGGATCATTAGTTTTGTTTTTTCATTATTCAGGGATAGTTTATTAGCCTGAAGCCATCTGATAACTAATTTCAACTCTTGTTTGATGTTACCATAGTTTCCTCTAGATATATTGTCAAAATATAATGCACCGTCATCAGCAAATAGATAAGGTTTAGAAAATAGGCATGCATTAGGCAGGTCATTGATAAAAATGCTGAATAGAATTGGTCCTAATATACTTCCTTGAGGCACTCCAGAGTTCAATGAATGTAAACTGCTTATCCTACTCCCAACTCTAGTTTGCTGTAATCTATCTGTGAGGAAGCTCCTAAACCAGCTCAATGCAGTATCTTTTATTCCATAATGCTTCAGCTTTTGAATGAGAATATCATGGTTAACAGTATCAAATGCCTTTCTGATGTCCAGGAAGATAATTGCAGGATGCTTGGCACTGTTCTTAGCAGTAAATATACGATCAAACAGATCTAACATGAGATAAGTTGTAGAGTGATCTTTACGGAAACCATATTGATGCTCTGAAAGTATTCCCTTTTCATCAAGATATTGAGTCAGTTGGGAGTTCACACAAAATTCGATGCACTTTCCAAGAATCGGTAAAATTGAGATTGGTCGATAATTACTAGGATTCTCAGTATCACCATCCTTATGGATTGGGGTGACTTTTGCAACCTTGCAGCTGTTTGGCATGATGCCACTGGATAAACTCAAATTTACAAGATGTGTTAATGGAGCAATAAATGCAGGTAAAATTTGTCTAAACACTCTCAATGGTATATGATCATTAGTGGATTTGCTACAAGGGATACTTGCCACATAGTCTAAGATATTGGACTCAGTTATTTCAGTAAAGCTATTCAAGCTGGTCTCGTTGTCAATCTGCTCATTTTGTAGATAAGATAGAAATTCATTTTCATTTTCCAGCTGCACTTCTGCTTGGATCTTTGGACCTATTTCAGCAAAATATTTATTGGTGGTTTCAGCATCAAGGTTGTTATTGATATTGTTAGCTTTAACAGGCAGATTTGATGCTGTCTTTATCGTTTTCCATACACCCTTTAGATCATTCATGGCACACTTGGCTTTCAGTTCTGTTGCTAAGTTAGTCTTCCTATTAATTCTAGACAAATAGGTTGAATAGTTTCTCTGCCGTTTATATGCCATCCATAATGAGTCACATTTATTACAGTGTATAACACCATTTGGATGTATACGTCTGTTCTTGTTGTGTGTTAAAAATTTACGGTAAAGTTTCCCTTTCAATTTCTTACTTTCTAAAAATTCTGGAGATGGCTTATGGATGTAATCACTATGGCACTTAATTTGTTTAATTGGACAGAAGTGATCATAGTAGTGATCAATATGTTCGTTTAAACCATCAACTGCATCATTCAGACTAGTTGAATCTATTATTGGTCTATAATCACAGGTTTCCAAAAATTCTTTAAGAGCAGTAACATTCATTTTGCTGTGATCTCTTATTAGTAACTTCTTGAATTTTGAGGCCTTATGCACATTGAAATCGACAATGAACTTTACGACCTGATGATCTCCTATACAATCATCAAGGACTTTGCAGTCAAGAAACTTGGAGTAAGTGTTTGTTATGACAACATCGATTGTGGTCTTTGTGATTCTGTTTCCTAGTTTAGCAATGCGGGTAATATCCTGAACTACCTGTACCATTCCAAACATTTTCATTGTAATGTCTAATTTCTTATAGTTCATACTGCTGATGTTGTTTTGGTCTACATTTACATCACCCAGCCAAATAACATTCTTACTTCCTATACTCATCATGCAGTCTGTCATATAATCTAAAAATTTGTCAAGAGGACTAAACAACTCAGATCTGTAGAAACAGCAGATGAAAATATTGCAATCTGTAAGATGGATCCAAATAGCCTCGATTTGGTCATATTGCAAAACTAAGTTTAGTTGAATCATTTTAAACTTTATGTGCTCACTGATGAGAATGCCACATCCCCCATGACCATTGTCGTTAGGACGGTCTTTGCGGATAAAAGTAAAATTCTTGGGTAGGTTTAGACTGGCTGAGTCAATATCCGACTTAAGATTTGTTTCATTCAGGCATAAAACATCTAATTTCTCTTTCCAGATTAGATCTTGGATTTCAAGACATTTTGGCATACCTGTTAGTCCTCCCTGCATGTTGCAATGTCCCACTGCAAGCTTTTTGGCATGGTATGAAACTGTGATTTTACTAATGCACGGGTTAATGCAAGAACTGCTGTGAGAGCATGAAAATTTTTCCAATTTATGCTGCTATAAACTTGTCAGAATAAGATAAATTGCAGAACTGGCAAATTTGTATGAGATAATAACAAAACTTTCTAAAACTTCAATAAACATGAGGAACAATGTGTAATTATCCCTTATCTAGAATCTAGATGAAATAAATGTTAACAATCTTTCTGAAAATTCAAACTTGCTTATGGGCCCAATACTTCAGAAATTTAGCAAGTCGAATAACACCGCTTGTATTGAGGTGACAGTTATCAGATATTTTTGCAGATGGTCTGGCAAAATAAAATTCTTTCCTGAATCCACTTCTATTATAGTTAAATAAATTATGGGTGCTAATGTAATTAAAACAAGAATCTTTGCTACACATATCCTTAATAACCTTATTCAGCTCTGCCACAACATCATTGCGGCCTTTTGTACTCCTGGGAAGAATATTGAGAACATTAATTGTTGCATTCGGATACACTGACTTGAGATAATTTAAGAGATTACTAATGTCACCCGCTGCATCCTTCAGTGACTTTGAGCCAAAATAGACTGTGTTCACATTATTAGTTCCTGTCATAATATAAATAATAGATGGGGATGGAACGGAGTGTAGGTCAGTTTTTAGTTTATTTAACATTACTTTGGCATCAGCCCCAGGATAAAACAGTTTACTAGCACTAACAGTGGACGATGATAACTTGTCCGCATCAAGAAACCTGAACATAGAGCTGCTTATGAATAGGACAGACTTTTGTGAAGCTTTGGCTGGCTGTTTGCAAACTGAGAGTGCAGGTGAAGAAGAGTCTGTCAGTTTGTGTCCTGAATGAGGGATGGGTGGGGGCGGTGAACGCAGACCAAACTCAGTTGACTGAGTGATCCTAGGGGGCTTCATCAGTCTTAGGGTGATGCTGATCCGGGGTTCATCACACATTTCGTCTGGCAGTATCTCATGTTGAAAGTCAGCCTGAGACAATTTGGACATGATGAAGACATCTCCATGCTGAAGCTGCACAGAGCCCACAACTTCATTGCTGCCGTTTGATCTAATTTGCAGTGTTCTCGTCGCACCAAGTGAAATGGTTACAATATCAGAGTGTTCTACAATACATGATTCAGAATCGCTATGAGCTGGCATGAACTCTGCTCCAGTTTCATATAGATTGACGAGAATACTATTGTGTCTGAAATTGGGTAATATCACATTAATGTAGGAGCTGAGTTTAGCAAGGTAGGAATCATTGTGTACACTTTTTGGGTCATGTGTTGCACCTGAATACTCATAGGGAAAGTCACCAAAATAAACCGATTTCCTGTTTTTAAAACCGTGACTGAACTCAAGTTCTTCCATTAATAGATCAAGTGAAAATTTAGAGAATGGACCATCATCTAGTAGGGTAACTGGTTTCACTGGTGATGGGGAACAAGTTACAGATATATTCATTGGCCCCGGTGTTATAGGATCGTAGACAGGGGCAGGGACCAAGTTTGGATATTTGTCTCTGGGCTTAGGGGTGTTGATCCGTGATTCACCAGTAGCAGTAGATACAGGGAGATCAGACACATCATCCTCGTCTGCCATAACCTCGTTAACAACAATCTCACTGATAACAATCTCGTTTCCAACAACCTCCTGTGGAACAACCTTGTCCACGACATTGTTGTCAACAAACAAACTGTCCGATACAACATCTTCCACAACAATGTCATCTACATCAAACGCTTCTACTTGATTGATAACAACGTGTGACTGAGGGGTAATGGTTATGATCTCACATTCAATCTCCTCTGATAAGTTCGGCAGCAAATTTTCACACTTAAAACTCTGTTCTTGTATTTGAATTTGATCTGATATGAGACTATCATTGTACTGAGCAATGAGATCACTAGTTCTGATAATTTCATTCAATAAAGACAACTTTTTTTCTAAAAAGTCAATCTTGATGTCTTTTGACAGACAATTGTTACAGTTCTCTGATTTTTCAGACTGGAATGAAAAGTTCAAATGTTCTAAAGGGCGCTCACAAAAGTGGAGACTAATGTCTGAGCTCTGATTATTTGACATAGTTATATTATCAAGAGTTCAATGTTCAGAAGCACAATAAACACTGTAAACGCAATACCTTCAGTCCAGATAGTAGTTTTGATGAGAATAGTTTTGATGAGAAGGAGGAGGATGAGTAATCTTCAAGTACACTCACAGCAGTCCTTTGCACGTCAACACTTACGCTCGTCTATCATATCTCATACCTCAATAAATGTAATAGATTTGTAGTGTTGTAATTAGTTTGAAACATAATATTACAGTGAGATAAGTGAAAGCAACGAGACCATTGAGTTGGGCCCAAGTGATTTCTTCGGCTACTTCGACCTTGTCTTCAGTCCAAATATCAACCTGTTTCCGCATGTAAGTTTACATAAAAGCTTATAATCCTAAAAAGGAAGAGTATTTGGTCGTTTTGATACAATTCAAATGGCAAATCGATATTTGATTATTCATTGAACAATTATTATTGAGATCTTCTAAATGATTCATTTGCAGGTTCAAGTTGTGCTGATGGAAGTGTTAGATCTTGTTAAGTGTTTTGCGTTTTCTAGCAATTCTGATAAAAGACTTCGCTCATTCTTCCCTTCGCTGCTCATTAGGTAACACTCAATTGTGATTTTTGACCAATTATTTTGGTTTAACTAACTAATTTTGCCTGAAATTCTGAAGATATGAAACATTATTTTGAGACATTTCTGAACTTCTCACCCAATTTTAAGAGATGTTACCCAAACTGTATCATACGATTCTCTTGTGAAAATCATCTTCTAATGATCTATCTCTCTGCTTTAGGTTACAGCACTGCAGTGCAAAGCAGAAAACCGTTGCCCTCACGTATCTCTTGGAGTGCTTGCAGCAGGACGCTCAATGTTGGTTGCTATGGCAACAGATGTTTGGGAAACATCTCAACAATTCAGTGACATTGCTGGAACACATCCACGACAACTGGAACATCGTTGTTAAGACCGTGAATAGATATGCTTTCAAACAAACCCTCAGTACGTATCAAACCAAAATTAATCACTATGGTCATAATGGTCAACCATCGTCCATCAAATAAATAAAATGCTTAATATAACACTAACAGCACTACCAAAATAACTATTACCAAAGCCGACCATCATCTCCGAATAATCAGAGGCTGATGAAGTTGCCTATTTTTCTGATTTAAAGTATCTCCTGTAATGGTATAATATGTCAATAATTTGACCATACTTGGTCAAGATAGCTCTGACTCACAAAGAACAAATTGGCTTTATATTCGTAATATATTAATAGCGGGATCCCCAGTATCAAAATAACTACGATCTTTTAACAAACTTGGCTCATCTTATTCACAAACTCAATATTAAAGCGATACTTTTCAGACTATTTAGTGGTCACCCTGACCCCCAGTTCCGAAAAAACGAAAGTGAAAGAGAATCAGAGACGAGCCTTGGAGCTGTGCAGCGACATGATCCATGCTATCGGATCCCCTCTCAAGTAAGTCATCCAATTAAAACCTCTTATTAGGACTAATGACATGGACGAGTAATGTATGGCCAATTTTAAACTTCAGTGGTCGTTTGGCCCGACTTGGTCACAATTACACGTAATAAGTCGCGGTAAGACGATCAAAAGGTATGAAATGGTTAATAGAGCCTTACATCCTTATCACTACATCGTTCTAACGTATAGAAGGAAATTATGCAAGGAAATAATATTATTGCAAGTTTTATGCTACAATTCTGCAAGCGACACAATAACCCCCCTCTTCTAATTATAGTTGCAAGTATTCTCATTTACGAATGTGTTCCATGAGTATAGTTACTTGTACTACAGTATACAGTGCACTTTTTATTGTAGACTCTGGACTTAAGGAGGAAATAGTTACTGTATTGTCTGTCCGTATGTACAGATAGCTGCTTATTTTTACATCATAGCTCTGTGTAAACTCAGTTGTGCTGTGTGGTCAGGTTTACATGTAGACTAAAAATCATTTGTACTCTTCATACTAGGAAATACGCGTTTTCTTTGCTAGTTTTGTTATCATGCGGTAAGTTTCATGGGAAATACACATTCTGGTTTTGAAGCGTTGTACTTTATTTTTTCGTGCCCCATTATACCTAAATACCAGTCATCTGAAATGTCCCACTTACATCTTATATTGTTAATACGCCCACTTCTCTCTTGATAATACCCGTCAAGAAAGCAATGTCACTCTAATATCTTATCTTGTTTCTCATCTCGTCTGCCTCTCCTCCAGGGGCGCTCTGAAACTTGCTCTGTTGGTGATGGTGGTGGTGAGTGCGGCCTACATCCTTCACGACGTCAAAGAGTTCGGATCTTTCCAGGCATCACGAACTGGACGAATATACTCAGGCTTACTGCAACATGAGACTGTTGTTCACGTCCTCGGAACTGTCAAGGTAGGGACTCCTTTTATTGCTGTCTGATATTTGAACATTCTGTCCACGAGCAATTCTTCAACGTTTGATTGCTGTACATTCCTTAATCTCAGTTATTGCAGGAATACACTGACACGGTAAACAAGTATGGCATGGCTCACGTACCCTTACTTATGGAGTACATTTACACTATCTGTAACTCAGTGTCCTCAACCCTCGCCCTTTTCGCTGTCTTCGTTCAGACTAATGTCAATTATCTGATTGAAAATAGGGAAGAGATTGCACAACAGGTAATTGTTTTGATTGACGATGTCAATCCTTTCAAGCTCGTTCCTCAGCTACGATCTCGTAAGATCGAGAACCGTTATTTCGTGCGCCGCCCGGCCCAGTAGCTACAAGTTGTGGTGTTAAGAGGATAACTAATTAACAGCTCTCAAAATTATTGATTTTCGGCCACCAGCTATTATCCTGGCACAATTTATACTTAGCATTTTGAGGTAATAACGTTATCACATATTTCAAAATATGGTCCACTTCAGATGAAGGCTGCAGCAGTTGACGCAGGTGAGCGAGGCTACTCCCTCCTTAAATCTTTGGCAACACCGGAAAAGATAGAGTGGCTGGAAACGACCGTGCTAAAATACATGGAGTTATGTACGGAATATTGGATTTTGGCGTCAAGCCACCTGGTGCATGCCGCCACTGTGGGGGCTAACTCTGCAGTGGCGCTCTACGGCTCCGCCCAGGAGTACGTCGTTATCAACTTTATTGAGTGAGTTGTGAAGTCTCAATTTATTTATTTTAAAAAAATGAAATGAAAATATCACATTTTGTTTTAAATATTTCATATCTCCTGGGTGCATTCCTTTGTATTGTGCACTCTTCCCTATTTTGCAAACCCTTTCTTAAGCTTAGTCACACATAAAACCGCTAATTTATAACAACATTTTCATTTCAGTGAGCCGGTAACGCTCGAAAGGTTAAAAGAATGGGCTTTAACGCTCACCTCCTTCTTGCAAGTGAATGCAATCCATTACTATAACACAATCCGTAACGCCACCTTAGCGAACTGATTCCATATTTGAAGAGTTTTGAGGCTACCCTCGTTGCTGGGTAATCATGGGGGTTTTAGAGTTAATATGAGCCTAAGTAGGAGAGGTGCAGTTTAGGTCCGTAATTGTGGTCTGATTTTAAATTGTTATTTAGTAACGTCAGTTCAATCCAGATATCTAAATCTAGTCGGACAATGTTATTCGCTCAATACAATGAGACTTGACGATAAGTGGGGGCATTCAGAAGTGAGCGCATCTTTCTTGACATTTTCAAAGTTAATCCTACCTAAATTCTCTTCGCCGTAGTGTTACCATTTAGTCTATTACGGTCCTGAAACACCTTGTATTATATACTTTGTATTGTTTGATTTTCATTTCCTGTGGGACCTGATGAATTGGAAATGGTAGTGAAGTTTCGCTTTGATTTTTCGGTAACAAATATCGAGCATTACTTATTTTTTGTCGTGAATATTTTTATGTTGATTATAGTTTAAAAAGATTGGGTATCAAGTATTCAAGTGTTGCGAAGTTGCTAGAATATATATTTAGTAAATTAATTTGTTAACATTATAACAATGTATCATACCGAAGATGATGTGTATAAACTTGCGTCTTACATAAGTGGGATAATTAAGTTTTTTGACGGGGTGATCTATATCATGACTTACCGTGATTGTGAGACGACTTCAAAATTTTAATGAATAAAGAATTCTTGATTATTGTTGAATTGGTCGTTTTGAGATTCGATCAGAGTTGTATTAACACTGTTAGTGCAAATAATTGCTCTGGTGGGGCAATGAGATGTATATATTCTAATTCACAATTTGATTAAAACATGACTTTGTTTTCCTTTGCCCCTGAGTTTGATCTGACTTCACCGAAATTAATAAAATAGAAACAATTTTGGTTCCAATAACAAATAATATATTTGATTCACATAAAAAACATTAGTTCGTAGTATTGTCAATCATTTTTGTGCACACATAACTAATAACCATAATATTGATCATATCTCTTTTGTCTTTGGTAAGAGCTCTAGATTCTTCTCCAGTACACTCAGTGCTACTGTTGTTGAGACATCTCAGTCCACAGCAGCTGGCGATCCTTCTCCAGTACCCTCAGTGTGACTGTTGTTGAGACATCTCAATCCACAGCAGCTGGTGATCCTTCTCCAGTACCCTCAGTGCTACTGTTGTTGAGACATCTCAGTCCACAGCAGCTGGTGATCCTTCTCCAGTACCCGACGTATCTTTCTCTCAGCTCCGGTTTTCTACTTATCAGAATGATTGGGTAGATCAACGCATACATCAGGGGGAGTGTAAACTCTGCCAACCCAAACACAATCCCAACATTCACCCAAAACCGGTCACTGTGGACGTAATCAATGTGGTCAAAATGGTGCCAAACCATCACCAGCAGGAAGTAAGCTGCATTGCACAAAAAGAAAAGGACAGACACCCAAAAGACAGTGACTGTAACATGATTGGCTGTGCTGGAGATAGATGAAGAGGTTGAATTTTGTTGGAGCATCCCCTTCAAATATCTTATCTGAATTATCATGCAGATAAGGACAACAAGGGGGATGCAAATGAAGTAAAAAATAACATATATGTACAACAAGCAATTGTACTTGCTTTGGAGTTCTATTTTGTTATTAGACCTGGCACATTTTGATACTCCATTCTGGTCTGGCATGCAAAGCACCGCAACTATGGTGGGCAGTCCCGGGAAGTTGAAACCTTCAACGAGATAGCGAAAAACCTTGGTGATGAAAGCAAGAGGAATATTACTTTCGAAAAACACCAAGATTGCCACCATGTCTGAGATGTGCAGCAAGGTTATAACTGCACAGCAGAGAGCAAGGACTATCTTTAGACGCGAAGTGTTAATTCTGTCGAATGGTTTCACGAGTTTGACAGTCAGGGTGACGGTCATGGCTAGATTGAAGAGCTTAGACCAGTTGACCCCAGGTAGAGCAGTGACCATGTAGTAAAGCAAGCTCTTATACAGAGCTTCTTGTCCAACCAGTCCCATATTAACCAGAATACTCACTACTGCCATTACAATTTCTCCTTGTGCTTTCAGAATGTCCGCCATAGCGATACCCATGAATAAACCGGCTATTAATTTGGTTTTGTCCTTGTAGTAGTTTCCAAAGATGATTATGTTATGTACCACCACCACGATACCCAGAGTGATATTAACCGGGGATAGGCTGAAGAAGACTCCTTTGAAAATGAGCGTGTCCATCTTCATGGTAAGATTACTATTAGAGTGGCTCATGGTCCCTTGTTGTTACAATTGTTAATGTTAATGGTATATGGTGAGAATCCTATGAATTTTACAAATTCGTTTATTAATTAAACCGTTGATATTATGTATTATATTTAAACAAATTTATTTTTCTGGTATGCGTTGACAATTTGCCGTTCTTAGACAAGGACAGGGAAAGTGAAACCTACTTAGATCCGCTGAAAATCGGATGGTTATGCGACCTAACTTTTAGTTAATTAATTCAAACGGCAGATAATTTCTTAGATGAAGGAATAAAGGATGATCTATTAGTATTGACAGGATCTCTCTCTCTCTCAATCTGGATCCATTTACAATTTACAAACCAGAACAAGAGAATGTGTAAGCAAACTACTGATGAGCTTTCGTAACGTAGTAAACTGAAACAGTAAAGTATTCGGAATACTAATACTATTTTCCGCCCTACTACTGCAAGCGAGAGGGCTCTGGTAAAAGCAATGGCCTGATATAAAATCAGGCCACGTTTACGTTTTGTAGTTGTAATTTAGTAATCACTTTTATATCATTATTCTTCAGGCTCTACTCAGCTTCCGGTAGCTGATCAACAACCAATCATAATCATATAGTTGCCAGCTGATACCAGCAAACTATTCTGATGAGATCTTTTTTATATAAGGAACTGGAAATTCTGAAATTTAGGTCATTCTGTATTCTGTAAAACTAAAATGAAAGAAATCTTTGGAATCGAAAAAAAGCTGCTCAACAACCGTATCTTGTATCTACAATTTTTAAATCTGGCCCGGCCCTCTCTGTAGGGCCGGGGCGTTCACATATGACGTCAGTAAGATTTTGCTAATTTGAATAATTTCAACCCCCTCCCTCCCCCAGTCCTCCCCAGTTGCCAGCTGATACCAGAAAACTATTCTGATGAGATCTTTTTTATTAAGGAACTGGAAATTCTGAAATTTAGGTCATTCTGTATTCTGTAAAACTAAAATGAAAGAAATCTTTGGAATCGAAAAAAAGCTGCTCAACAACCGTATCTTGTATCATGTATCTACAATTTTTAAATCTGGCCCGGCCCTATCTGTAGGGCCGGGGCGTTCACATATGACGTCAGTAAGATTTTGCTAATTTGAATAATTTCAACCCCCTCCCTCCCCCAGTCCCATGACGTTAACTAACCGCATTGAACGACCCCCTTTAAATGACGTGATTATTTGAAAGACACCCCCATCAACAAACTAATAACTCTCCCGTCAGCCAGCGAGGGTGTTTTGAAATGCTGACATGACAGGGGGATACGGGTGTAAGCGCTTACACCCCCCCCCGCAGGGACAATTGATATCTGTCTTATTTTAACAGTTGGTCAACACACAACAGAGTTCAGTTCATCAAACTGCTGAAATCAAGCAAATAAGCCAAGTTTTACTGTCAACAAAATTGATTCGAAACAAAACTTTTGCCAAAATTCCGGCATTTCTGCTGACATCAGCACGGCTCATATTTACGTCTGGGGACCGCAGGCTATTATATTTATGTTCATAATCATTACCTGCAACCTGGGGACCTCAGGCTATTATATTTATGTTCATAATCATATAGAATAGAGATTCGGCGGAATGACAGGCTGAGCGCGGCCCAGTAACACGTGATCAAGACAGTTTTTCGCCAATATCTCGCCAGGGGAGCATTTTAACCCTATTAATATTATGCCATGGGGCCGGGGGTGATTCTGAATCAGCGTCCGAAAATACATCGATTCAAGTTGGTTTCAACTGTTGGGGGCCCTTTAAGAAAAATTTCGAAGATCGACTGTAAAGTGATTTAGTACGCTTGCTTTTTGTAGCGCAATGCACTACTGGGTCGCGCGCGCATCAAATAATGCATCTCGCAACCACGTATGCAGATCGGCGAGATGCGAAGGATTGACATCGTGAATCAAGCTCGCTTTGTTTAGTTGGGGGTCGTTCACATATATTACGTAATCAATATTTTAGTAATTTTGACCCCCCTCCCCCCTTCCGTAATCAACCGTAATCAAGACCCAACCCCCCCTCCTGACAGCAATATTACATAATCATGGCCTGACCCCCCCCCCCCTTGACTTTTTTTCCTAGAAAACACTTTTCTCTACTTTTCATGCTACCCTGATCATGCTATCCTGATGAGCCGAGGCCGAAATCATTGTTATGATATCCGGCCAAGCACCTTCTAAACTATTTACTATTTTAGCCGGATATTCGATCAATTTCTAAATTTTATCACTATCAGAGTGAAATTGAGTGGAATTTGAATTAAAATATTGTTGACATACGTTGCATGCCACTTTTCGCGCGCCGATATTTGTGATACGTAACATGTATCATAAATAGTGTCAAATAGTTATTATTCTAGAGGGTAAAAAAGAAAAGTTTGATTACGTAATCAACGACCGAAACCCCCCACCTGTAATCAACCGTAGCACTTGCCGTCGGGCAGAAGAAGGCGGCGCGCGCTACTTCGAAAAAATGTAAACGAGTAACATCCGTCAAGAATCACTCCCCATGACGTATGGTAAAAATGCTTCCCTTGAGAGTTATGGGCAAAAAACCGTTTTGGTCACGTGACAGGCTATAGTAAAACATGAATTCGATTGTTTAGAGCTCGGGTTGGGGTTAGTGGTTAGGGTTGTAGTAACAAGTAAGGGTTAGGGATAGCTTCGGGGTTATGGTTAGGGTTGGGTTTTGTAAAACCGTTTTGTACGGCTGCAAAACCATAAAAACCAAAGTCACGTGAAATTACCTTGGGACCTCAGGCTATTCATAAAAATTCGGCGGAATGACAGGCTGAGCGCGGCTCAGTAAGTAAAACATGAATTCGATCATTGTTTAGCATTTAGGGCTCGGGTACGTTGGGGTTAGGGTTGTAGTAATGGTTATGGATAGCTTCGGGGTTCTGGTTAGGATTTTGTAAAACCGTTTTGTACGGCTGCAAAACTATAAAAACCAAAATAAAAGTCACGTGAAATTTTTGGGCGAGCGAATTAGTAAAAGCCGCCGCCGCGCGCAAAAATGAAAAAGGGGTTAAAACGTGTATCAACCAACTCCCCATTCGGCTGCTGACGTCATATGGGGTCGTTCACATATTACGTAGCTGATACCAGCAAACTATTCTGATGAGATCTTTTTTATTAAGGAACTGGAAATTCTGAAATTTAGGTCATTCTGTAAAAAAACTAAAAGTAAAAGGAAAGAAATGTTTGGAATCGAAAAAAAGCTGCTCAACAACCATATTTACAATTTTTAAATCTGGCCCGGCCCTCCCTGTAAATAGTAGGGCCGGGGCGTTCACATATGACGTCAGTAAGATCAAAGATTTTGCTAATTTTAACCGCCGCCCTCCCCCATATATAACTTCCCCAGATATATGAACTCTAATACATAATATAACTCTGCGCGCACCCAAATTACGATCCATGATCGAACCTCCGTGATATTGAGAAAATAACTTTGCGGAGGTATTTAACACGTGAAACTGAATTCAAAATACGTACCAGATCGGGTCGTTTGACATACATTGCATTTGCATATTGGCCACTTTAATATTACTTTGCAACTAGCAGTGAATTTTAAACGATACCATTTTCAATAATAACAATCTGCTTTCGCTGTTTTGAGTGGGTCGGTCATATAATTGGTGTTTTGGGACAAAGTGAGAGTCTCCACTCAGTTTTTCAAACAAATAGTTGAAAACTAATTACAACACTACAAATCTGTAAAAATTTATTGAGCTATGTAACGTAATTGTAACGTCTCGTCCATGACAGAGGCCTGGGCGTTGGGCCGAAACGTCGACAACTATTTGTTTGAAAAACGGAGTGGAGACTCTCACTTTGTCCCAAAACATCAATTATACCATTTTCAGTTTGGACTTCAGACAGTTCACGAATCTTAGCATCTTCATGCAGTTTTCAAAGTTCCAAATGATGAAGGGTCATAAATTGATTAAATGTTAAAAGTAGACATGACTGCTCACAACTACAGCTACAGAGTACAGATTGAGATAGTTATTTTGAGTGGGGACTCGCTAATTTTGCTATCGACTTTTAGACTCCTGTGAGCTTAGAATAGCCCTTTATTATACCACATTCATTATTTACAATAATTCGTCTAATTTAGGTAACAGGGCTTCTAGCGGACACCCAAAGATCATGGAAGCGACAAAGATTGATCACTTCTTCGACGTACAACGCCAAATGCACTCCGTAGTTCAGAAGAGGGCAAACTTTGAACGAAATGCTGGTAACAAGCTAATTCACGTTAAACTGAAGGGCCACGAAGACATAGCAAACGAGTTTAAACGATTGGCTAGGTTAAAAATGAGTGGAACGTATTATGCGGTTAAGGAAGCTCAGATGCAATCGTTGATTACAATGGATGAAATACAGCCTTCTAAAGAAGTGCAGAGAAGAATTGAAGGAACTGAGAGAGAAATCTTTGGACTTCTGTCAGCAGAAAATGCAAAATCCGAAGTTGCAGGAGTAAACAAGCTCATAGAAATAAACATGTCCAACTGTCTAAAGGTTTTGAAAGAGAGAAACGACCAACTGAAAGCAAAACTCAGCGAATTGTGTAAAGTTGAAACGGAGTTCGGGAAGAACGATCACTACACTGGGGATGGGTTTTTGAAACGAGATGTTGGCACAAGAGATAATCTATTGGCAGAAAAGAAACAGCTTGAAGAGAAATTGAGCAATCTTGAGAAAGATGTACAGCAGTCCACAGCGAGTTTAGAGGAGAGCAATATGCAGCTTACTGAGGCGGAGTCCAAGGTAGAAACTTACAAAGGAGCGGTTACCAACAAACGAAAGGAGATACAGAAACAGAACTACGCGTCCGCGGATGCACGTGCTCAATCTTCTGCAAATCGGGATCTCAGAAATGAAGCCCTTTGTAGGGTTTTGCTACAGAGGAAAGCACTGAAGCTCGAATCCAAAGAGGATCTGAGAGTAGAAGCATCCCACTCCCTCCATTCAAGGAGAGAAGATATTGAAAAAGATTTGAATGAGAAGAGTGAGAAACTGAGGATGTTGAAACTAAAGGAAGCTGAACTAGATGCCATGGAAAAGGCGCTTGATGAGTCTCAGCAGACGAAGCAAGCTCAGCTTGAAGAGGTCATTAATAATGTCCAATATCAAATATAAAATTTTAAAGTATAAGTTTTAACAGCAGCCATAGGGCAGACGTTTGATTCGGTTTATGAAAATTTCCCATTTTACTATTCATAACTTGTGATGTCATCAGTAGATCAACTGGGCAAAGCGAACTAACCATTCTAATTTCAGGCGAAAGAGGCTAACAGTGTCCTTGACGAGAAAGTAGCAGGCATCAGAGAATGTAACGCTCGAGTAGCACGTGACTTGGAGACATGTCTCGAGGACGTGACCAACTCCATGGACGTGAACTGCACCGTCTGGAGGGACCGAGCTCTCAAGAACATATTCGACGCAGGAGCACTCGACGTTGCTATTCTTAAAAACGTGGCATTCTCCAACAAGGACAAGTACAAGTTCCCTCAGGAACAATACCAGATCGTTCAGTCACTGAAACCGGAGCTGGGAATGTTGCAGGGTGGTGTCGAGAACTTGCAGGACAAGATAAAGAACCTCACCTCGGAGATAGAGGGCCTGAACAACAAGGAGAAAACTATTGCCAAACAGCGCGAGTTGAACCACAAAGAGTTTCAAAATACCGAACATGTTGTGTCCCGAACCACCGGTAAATTAGCAAGGTTTGAACAGCTCCTCAAGTCTACCACTAAAACTACAGAGAACCAGCTAGAGCGTCTGGCTGAACTCCTTCCAAAAACGAACATTCTGGAGACAATGGAGGCGACTAAGAAACTCAACCTATTAGGACCCATTCTGGAGAGGGTTGAAGGATCGACTGAACCTGATGATGTTCTCAAGCAGTATCACACGATGAGAAAGGAAATATTGGAGAAGCCCGAGAAATACGCACCTGCAATGGCTTTCGAGTTTCTTCAGAGGGAAATGATGATACAAATAGCATTAGAAGAGAAACTTAATCGACAACTTGAACGTCTATAAACTCAATATAGTAGGTAGTGGACAGATATATACGACTCATAACATACGTCGTGTCTTACATTATTCTTTCCATAACTTCTTAAACATGTAATATGTTGGACATTAAACCTTATCATTATATTTAAGAAATAAATGCATCACTTATAGATAATATCATACTTTTCTGTTTTTTTTGTATTGTTAGTAACTAAATTTGTAAGTTGCCTTCTTGTTTTATTTCCATACAACGCGAACGTCTTTTACCGAAGGCAACAAAAATCAATATTCATAGTGATTGTAAAATGTAAAGGTGTATTTTTTTGTTTTTTGTTGTTGTTCAGGGAGCAGGCTTGCCACATAGGTCCAGGAGTAAAGGTGTAAGAATGATGGGGAGCGAGGTGGAATAGGTTGGTCCAAATTTAATAACATCATATATCCACCTACCTTCTGAGGTGGATATGTCTTTTTTGAAGTTAGTCAAAGTGGTAAGTTGAAAAGTTAAATCATTAAATTATTAGTTAAAAATAACATTTCAAAATCTCATCAATAAATATACGCTTCACGTCGCTGGATCAAAAGCTGGAGTTTATAGAAATATCAAAACACACGCAAAGTCTGAAGGACAACTATAAATATTCATGATGAAAAACCCGATATATAAGCGTGGTACTTTGAACATTGCCAATTGCATCTCTTCAGTCTTCCTAGGATTATGGTTGAAATAGACCGAATCCTTATTGCGGACGCGGACCTACCGCTTAATAACAACTTATAGTATACCAGTAGGGTTAGGGATGATATGGGCGGTAGGGATTCGGTCCGCCTACCTAACATTATATTTCTCATAAAAATCCAGCTCTAAGTTCAAAGTCAACAAGTAAAACATCTAAAAATAGTTAAGTGTCTGAGAGTGAATAAAACTTACTCTTAAAGTTTGATCAAAATATCATCATGGCTTTCTGTATGCTCATTAAATCGTCCACAATTTGTGAAGGAGTAGTGCCGATTTGTTTAGCGAGTTCTCTTCGTTCCGTATGAGACAATGTTAGGAAGTTGGTTAGAAGCTGATAGTCTAGAATATTCCGATGTGGGTTCATCAACCATCTCCCAGGCATCTTGGCTGTTCTGGAGATCATTATGATAAGTTGCATGATTAAAACAAACTAATTCATAAGAAGTACAGCATGGTTTAGTATTGGAATGCCTAAGTTGACAAGGTGGAAGTAATCAAATTTAACATAGGACATTACCTGAATTTCTTGGGATTAAGGCCCGCAACATGAGGGACAGCTGTGACCAACTTGTTGTGCAACATAAACAGTCTTCTGTATTTCTTCTCTGACAAGGGCAAGAAGGATCCCAGAGCTCCGTCCAGAGTTGCAAACCATGTCACGTGACGTTTCTCACTCGGGTGTAGTAACGCACTGAAAGGTTGTATTGATCAATTCAGCTCGTCATTCTACTTCTAGTCTTGTTAGGTGTTACTGTTAGGGTGACTACAATAATTCATGAAGCTGAAATCAATATATTTAAAAGTGGTAATGGACTGGTGCACGGTACATTTTATTGGCAATACACTACAGCCGTAGACGGATAGGTTATAAAGCTACAATAATTCCAAATAACCCCCATGGTACAAACACTTCCCCAAGAAGTTATGAGAAAAAACTGTTTTGGTCACGCGAAAGGGTTATAAAACGCAAATTTGACTGTTAAGTACTGGAAGTGGAAGGGGTTTCTTGAAACATATAACGTTATTGATGATATGAAGGTTCGATGGCACTGCACATAGTCATACCAATATCTTAAATGTATTGGTGAACAATGATTCCATAAACCATTTAATTTGATTGTAAAATTGTTAAATTTCAGTAAATAGCTGTGTATACTGTATAGTTTGATAGTTGGGGACGAAGTGTAGTTTTAATTGCAGTTTAAAACATGGGCGATGGTTCTTATCCGGACACTTCCACAATTTAATCTCCCATGAAACATGAGGTCGTTACACTTTCCCCATCCCCGGTTTCTTTGTTCACCGTTTTATCTTCTTGTTAGTTTTCGAACTGCTTGATGGTAGCGTTCTATAAATAGATTTAGAGATCATGCAATTTTTTCCGTTCACCCTTTTGTAAAAAGGCAATAGTGAAAGGTTACGAATGGACGTTTTTGCAGAAAAACGTGGATTTTGGAGAATGAGGTATGTAGGTTTAAATATGTCGTCTGTGGGTACTTCCGTTAATAACCATGTCAACTAGCGCGCAGTGCAGCGCGCGAGTATTGCTTGCCGAGATGTGATGTATATAGCTAGCCTGTCAATGAATGCGCGGCGCGAGTGTATTTTAATGTATACTACCTATATAATGTATAGTATTAGGTAATGAGCCAAATTTGTACGTAACATGCGTAGTATAGTGTACTGATGTGTATCAATATAATTATTATGAAGTGAGCTGATGAAGCCTATATTTATAGTTATAGTGAATGGAAATCTAGCGTCCGCCAAACCGAAACAACGGGCGCAATTCTTGTTAAAATGCATGATCTCTGTTAGACTATTTCACTTCTAAGACGACTGTTCACTGTTTTAAATTCCTCTTCAAAGCTGAAATATGAAGAATTTCTTTGTGTTTACCCTTGTGGCACTTGTTGCCGTTCTCTCAAGAGAAGATCACTCATACAGGACCCTTCCAGACCGGGGGCCAGTTCTCATTGTGAAACACAACCACACAGTAAGCCAGAATGAGAAATACGAGTTCAAGTTCATGTTTCTTGCAATGAAGCCTCTCAACGAATCTGCAGTGAAACTGTACAAAGTGACCGGGAACAGAGTGACACGCATATCTCACTTTGAGGAGACTAATTTTGATATCTCCCTTATTACAACTCTTAACGAGAAAGAAATCAGGCAAAAAATCAAGAAGCTCGATCATAAAGACGATCACGATCCCGGCGTGTTCCTCACACCCAACATCATCGGTTTAGACCTCGTTTAATTGATCTCGAGGTTAAGGATTGTTGAATCGTAAAGTTGTAATGCATGCAGTTTCATTTCATTATTTGACGGTAGAGGTAAAATAATAAAATCAATATTCATTTTCATACGGAGTTTTACTTTGTACTTTAAAAAAGTCATAAATTTAACCACCAGGTTAATAAAATGTATTTTGTTGCCGAATTGGTCATATAAATTATAATTATGAATTCTTCATGTTTATGAACATTGTATAAAATCTCAATTACAGCTCGTCAACTGTTTGGGTGAAATGTTTCAAACTCAAAAATAAGCTGTAAGGGTGATTAAAATGTCATCAAATGTTTACCATAATATATTAAAATAAAATAACGGCCAGTTTGATTAAAACGGAGGATAGCCACTGGCTTCCGAAATTCGAATGTTTGTAATTAGTAACTGAGACCAAAATTTTTGAGGCCACTTGAACGATCGATCATCGATACAAATGTTTTGTCACAGAAAACTCTACTTTCATTCTTTTTATGCACATCCAGTGAGGATACGAACAAAACACAATAATATCAACATTGTCTGAAATTCATAACATTTCTCACTCTAGCGAATTATCGGAGGATTTCAGCTGATTAAGATACCATATCTTTATACTCTGATCAAAAGAGCTGCTAATAATTTGGGACTTGTTCGCTTGAACACAATGCACTTGACCCAAATGTCCATGAAGGATCCGGAGCATTGCTCCACTGGGCAGGTCCCACTCTTTAACAAGCCCACCAACATCCCCCGTAATAAACCTGCTGCCATATAACCAGATGTAGTTCACAGCAAAGTCTCCACACAAGATGTGATGTGAGGGAACCTCTTTTCTGCGGTCGATAAAAAGCAACAGCTTGTTCTCTGTAGAGGCAATTATAAGATTCTGATCAAAGGTGAAGTGGCGAATCTCCACGCCACAGTGGATTGTCCTAATAGGGTTGTAGTGCTTCGCACACCAAAGCCGGATAGTATGGTCTAAAGAAGCTGAGTAGATGGTCTCCTGGTCCATGTCTCCGTGAATGATCCCGGCCTCATGTCCCATGATGACGTGATCGCAGGTGTAGGATGTGGCAATCTTGTCGGGACTTTCCCTCGTACTGGGCTGGTACACGCGGAGAGTTTTGTCGAGTGAGGTAGATATTAAGTGAGTTTTGTTAAAGAAAACTGTTGTTACGGAGTCACTGTGGCCAGTCAAGACGCTGTAACATCTCAGGGAGATGACAGAGAATATCTTGACAAAGGTGTCCCACCCACCTGTAACAATCTTGTGTCCATCGAATTGGAGTGAATTTATCGCCCCATTGTGGGCTGTCGTTTTCTTCACCGGTCTCCCAGTTCTTATGTCCCAGATTCTGAGAATCCCAGTCCCACATCCAGATATCAATCTTAGAGAGTCCGCTTGGAAGGTGTATACGGCCTGTTTGTGGCCCACTAGTTCATTAACAGACTTTAACGGATAGGTAGTCGCCAGGGCACTAATACATGCAGTGTAGCCAGTAACGTCCTCGATAAATCGTGCGTGCTTCTCGCTGTGTTGTTTGGGAGAAAAGTTTTCCTCGTAGGCAATTTCGTCTTCTAAACAACAACTAGCGTGAACAGATGCAACTCGTTGAATGGATTCATCTAAAACCGTGTTATCGTTTAAATGACCTGGGATCCCCTGGGAGCGAGTAGACGGCAGCCCTTGTGTGCTTGCAGTGATTGGAACGGCTGAAGGGGTCTTAAGCATATTTGTACCAGAAGGAAAAAGATTTCCAGCCTCTGAAACGTTATGACTTGAATTTTCACTGTGAGGTACAGGGGTAGCTAGTAAAGTCACAATTTTTGGCTTTTTAGCAGTAACTGCAGTCTTGGAAGGTATACTTACAACGGAATTGTCACTTGAAAGAGACATTGGTGAAGGAAGAGAGCTCTTCTTGAACCAAAATTTTACCAGGTCGGGTGATCCGGATCGTGAATTACGTTCTCTCAACATTTGGGGACCAGCAGATGTATTTTGATGTGGCATTATAGTCTGAACGATAGATCCGAACCTCATCCTCGGTGGTGTAGTTTTTTGCTTGTTCAGTTCGTGTAATTCTAAATAGATTCGCCTCCAAAGAGTGTCCTCCGACCGTTCAGAAAATCGTGAAAAGTCGATACCTGTGTAGTTAATGTCCAATGCACTAACCTTCCAACCTATGGACCGGTAAGAGTATCTCAGCCAAGTCTTGGACACCTGAGCTGTTCTCGCGAGATCTTTAGCAGGCAGATAAGAACAAATAATTTGTACTGCACGATCAGGAAGTCTGAGAACACTATCGTGAGCATGACCCGTTTGTTTACACACGAGCTCAGATAAAGCAAGGTTGGTTTGTCACAAAAGGGAAACAGAAGATGAATAAGGTGAATAAATTCATAGGTCTCCCAGCCATTGCAAATTCCATCCAAGTACTCCAGTTGGTCCAGAAAACATTGCTTCATCTGTTCCGTGTTCATAGTTTGGCTATAAACTTTCAAGTTTATGGGATTAGGCTTTTTAATGTAATCGGCCATTGTTTTATCTTTAAAAACTTCCTCGGTCACATGCTTATGATAAAGTCTCTCCTTAGGTATGCGGCACCTTTTGTTGCGCAGTTTAGTGGATCTTACAGATGTTAATGATGTTCCAGAATCTTTTGAATTAGATTTTTTATAACCAGAATGGTATAACGGTTCGAAATCCGTCAGCAATATTTCCAAGAGTTTTATGTCCAGAATCTTAGTATAACGACAGAAAAAGTAATGCTGTTGCCACGTATTCCATTTTTTGAAATTGTCAATCATCTCTTGGTACTCAGTTCTTTTAGATAAAACCTCGATTGTGATGTCACCCATTTTCCCTAAAACTGAAAGAATTTAATAAATGATACAAAAGTCAATGGATAAAAGTGGAATCGTAAGCTCAGTACACAGTATCAAATGAACAAACAGAAGAGCTTATCATATAACCCTGGCAGGCTACAATAGTCAAACGATTTAGGAGCCACCTCAGCTACTAAGAATATTAAATTACTGACAACTGTAACTTAACTACAGGCACCTGCAGCAATGAAATGGGCTGCAACGTAATAAAATGGAAAGGGTACACGCTGCATGCACAAACTGGTACACAACTAAGGATTTCGTCCGCATCGATCTGCAGTCCAGGTAGCGCACGGAAGTGCAACAGTGTGTTAATATGATGGATTGTCGAACTTAAGTGCGTGTCGAACTACAGTGCGTGTCGAACTACAGTATGTGGTGGTTACAGCAGTTTCTGAATGGACGTTACCTGGGTAGCAAAATTAAACAGACGTTACATGGATCTTGATAAAACGCGAATCTCTACGTCAATTACTCTGGTAAAAACACACAGCATAGTCTGCTCCTTTAGAAAAGCAACCACTTAAGATCATTGTTGGCAATCCGTGAAATGGTAAACTTATTATTCTACAACGAAATGTGCGGTCGCAACCACCGCAATTTCAAATTACTGTTCAGAAATTATCAAACACAAATTCGTCATGCAATTCTCAAATGAAGCGCTGAGAGTACAAAATTAAGAATTTACAATATTCAAGGCTAGAGTGGGGCAGAAATGAAATGGCTGGTGTGCAACACTATTTACTTTTAATACTTTCAACACTACTATATAACAAATAATTTGAGATCATGAATACGATGTAGTTACATTGAAACGTCGAGTAAACTGAAAACTCCTTTCCCTAATAAGAGCATTTTTACTTGTCGCAACAACCGGGATAAAGATAATTTTACACAGAATACATTACAACAATGCGACTCATAAATAATACTCCAATCCGGATTTTACACTATTTACTTATTACTACATTACATACAAGAACGTAACAATTAATTTATCAAGTTTCAACAAAAAAGCTCAACCCCTAGCCAGCTAGCCTATATACATTTTTTTCTCATGACAGAACCCATCGTTTTCTTGTGCTGAATGAACGACAGTTCAATGAATTAGAACCAAAAGGCACCATTTTGCCTAAAAATAATATGGCAGATTAGGATTATGCAATCACTAATTATTGATTGTGCACGATCGGCATTGTTGAACAGGCTTGCCAAATAACAGGTTCAGACAACATTACTACGGTGTTCCTGGACTTATTAAACTTTGTTTATGGTAAGGATATAATATTACAAACTCAAAGTTTCGACTACAACCTGGACCACAATCCCTTAGTAGGTATCGACATTTCAGATCATAAAATTAGCAACGTACAAAGTAAGGGGCTGTGTTCGTATATCGTCGACATTTTTTTATACTTAACATAGGCTGTATGCGGCAGAGTCTGCCCGATACTGCCACTGTAAACGCTAAATTGTGAGTTCTATTTTGTTCATGTTTCTAGTGAAATGAAAATAGACTGCAGTATTGAGCTAAACCGGCAGTCATGACCCTCTCAAATATCAAAATTTAGATTTAAGACATGAATCCGTAGGAACACTTAAGGTTAATTTCAGCTCTATGCCAGACGACATGATTACATTTTTCATATAACTTTACATCATGGCAGAATTCGATTTTTCGTATAGAAACTGGTCCGCAGTTTAATGTTTCTATGTTTGCAGCCACATACACAGTGAATGTTTATTTTATAAGAAATCCTATAAGATAGAATATAGATGTAGCGGGAATTTCGATATGTGGCTGAAACACGTGAAATCAATAAACTCGCGCGCAAGTATGTAAAATGCTGAAAAAGCACACGCACATGAGACATAAAATCTAGCAATACAAGTGCAAGTTATTTTATTGTGTCTTATCTACCCAAGGTTAGCCGATTCATAATTCACATTAAATGATTAAATTATGATAAAACTGTCTCACCTAGACGGTGCGGTTCCAAGTATGGTGCCATCATGTATCCTTATTCCAGTTCTAAAGAATGTGTTAACGTGAGCCCCGATGTTTATATCGGACTTTCTGATGAGCTTCATTCCGCCTTGACTCTCAACAGCTTCAGGCTGAAATATGTGAACTGTTTGTTGAATATTTGGCAGTTTAACGGGGTTTTAATGACACGACAGGAAATGGAGTGAATGGAGTTTAGCAGTTATTAAAACTAAGCAATGTAGAATCCTACTATACCTGATATGCGTATATGACGAGGTTGCAGTTTGAGTCAGATACCATGAAACCCAAGTTAGTTCCATCAACTACATATTCACATCTATAAACTTCCATTGGTTCATAGTCCCTACTGATCACTGAAAGTGTTTTGCACTCTTTGTCGAAAGTCAGAAGGGAAATGCTCTTTGTTATATCGGCGTAGAGAACAAAGTTTTTGATCACCGAGATGCTGAAAGAAAACAATTACAATTTTTACTTGAGCGACTACAGATTATCATCTCGAAACAGAAAATGAATAGCATAAAATAAGCACATATAGCTATATATAAATTGTATCTAGGTACCTGTGAATGTAGATTTGTGTGTCAATAAAAGCGACCCCAACAAGATCATTGTTTAGAAAACTCCAGACATATATCTTCTGGCCAATAGCAGATATAATGTGTCCCATGATACAATCTATCTCTGTAACTGGGCCTTTCTGTTCTTTATCGTAAAGACATTTAAACTTAAAGCCAGACAGCGGTTTCTCGGGGTCAGGAACAACCTGAAAAGTTTAATTAAAGTACAATTTAATAACGAGTGAACTTAAACTTATCAAGTTCTCAACAATCATACGCAGTCTTTGGTCGCTCAATTTTAAAACAAGGTCCCACCGAATTATTACCTCCATGACATCGAAGACCATGATCTTGCCCCTAGCTGATACCTCCTCTCCCATACTACTCATAGTCCCAGCTACCACATAACCCTTCTTTTGTTCTCCCATCTGCTCCCCTGACAGCTCCATGAACTTCATACAGGTTACTCGCTCGTATTTGGGGAAGTCTATTCTGCTGTCTGGTATTATCTCCCAGCCATCACGAGTATATAGGGTTATAGAGTACCTGCCAGTTCGTCTGTTATCTTAGTATCAATGTTTAAAAAGTGTGATCAGGACTGAAGATTACTTTTCTAACTATGCAGTTTACTGGTTTTTAAGAAATGTTATCGTGTGAATTCTGTTTGTTTATGATATTTAAGCATCATTGACTGTATGGTTATGAAGGACCAGTAAAGTAAAGAGTTAAGAAAGAGATGTTTACCAGTTTAGAGAAGGATAGGGAAAGTTATCATCCTCTTCAATAGGAGCTTCCTCCTTGTCCATGTTATTCTGCATAGCTGGCCTCATTGGGTTGAGAGAAGGAGTACTAGTGCACACAGCGTATCTTTAAGAGGATCGGCGTTACAAACTTAGCATTATCAAGTTGCATAAACATTAAACATTGGTAACAAAATGTACCCACAAATTGGTTAAAATTTGAGAAGACTTGATAATCGAGATGCACATCTTATCAACTTACGTTTTGGTGTCATGATGGTAGGCGACGAAGTGAGGGGTTGACCTGAGAGGAACTTTCTTGGCAGGCCAGTGATTGTCATAGGAGAGAGTGGTAGGTAGAGTGCACACCCTCAACTCGTCTGTGCTGCTGAAGTACAGGAACCCGTGCTCACAGTTCACATTGTGGAACGGAGCGAAACATGTCACCTGCAAATACATACATGACATTGTATTTTACTGTACCAAGATTCAAAGAGAGAGAGTTATTCAAGTCTGGTCTGTAAATTGGAGCTACGCCTACATCCAGAGTGAGCCCAAAAAGAGAGCCAGTTGACCGAACAAATTATGTAAAAATGAACAACTCGAACCTACCTTGCCATCTAAATACATAGGATGAGTTCTAAGAGCACCATGAGTTGTTAGGAACAACCAGTACGGTAAATCACCACAAAGGAATATCCCCGAGTAACCTGAGTTGTTGAACTTAACAATTATTTTCCGAAAGGAGCCACAAGATAGGAATTAAATATTTAAAAAGTTCAAAATAGTTATATCCTAAAATATTTACGGCGGTTGATAATACTAACCAGCAATGTTGCTGAAGCACTGTATCTTAGGAGTGTAGTGAGGGTGAGCGTCCATGTCCAGTAGTTTGTTTCCCCTCGTCTTCTTCTTCTTTATCAGCACTTCATGCTGGATCTTAGCAAACCTCATCTTCAGAGAATCCTTATCTGAATATATGGAGTATGCATGAAAAACAGCGAATAATTTGATACGTCAGTCCGAGACCGTAGAATACAGTAGATATTAATTATCATTTTAAATTGCCAGGAATAAAGGACAGTTGAAGCCGTTTCATATACTAAAAACATAATAACAAAACTAAAATCTTTGAAATGTCTTACTCGAAGTATTGTATGGAAAAGCTGAGTAGATGAAGAAGTCATCATCAATGAGAGTGAGAAGGTATGGTCTCTGACGCTGCCATCCGAGTCCAACGACACATATCTCTTTAACACCGGGTATACCCTCACTTCCTACACTCGGGTGATGATCTTCACTGTCTGCTAACGTCTGCAACAGAGGGGTTATATAGTTTTATTTATCGTCTAACAGTCGGTATTAATTACAGACTATAAATTAATATCGATTGCAGGATATACCAAAATAAGACTCCCGATGACCCCTTCTCTGACTCACTGGCCCGGCCCCTGTAAGAGGGGCTGGTCACGTGTCAATAAACACTTCCCCACCAGGATTCACATTCCACATCTATAAGAAAGGTTGTACCTGTAATTAACTCAGTATTTTAGCACATGGAAACACTTAACTTGTGAACGTTACACCGGTTTAGTAGGGGCTCAATGAGGCTAACCTCGTATCTGTGTTATGTGTTTTTATGCTACATTTTATTTGTGCCAATGTTTTGTCTCTTAAAACGATCATAATACGTTTTACGTGTTAAATCCTTGTGACAAGCGGTTAGGCAACAATGCAATTGTCACCACTCACCTTATCAAGCTGCATATGGACTTAGGCAGCTTTAATCTTGGTAGTCTTTTAAGAAGCAGTTATTTGCGAGTTATCTTAAATTAGGGCCTATTAGGCATAGCTAACCTTCAAGTCACTGTTGCAAATCACCAATTTCTCGCCGATAAACATACTTGTTACCATCGTTTTGCCCTCAACTAAATGAATCAAAAACATTTAAATATAGGCGCGGTTAATAATAATAATATGATATAGATTACAATCTCAACCGCTCATTCCGTGACAACTTGTCGATGCTAAATTGTGAACAAGCGAACGCTTTTATTTCGTAATTGCAACATTGTTGACTTTGATTCATCAAACATAATGAGTAGCCTTGTTCTTTAATTTAAAAGCCAAATAAAAAATAAACCTGGATAGCATTAACAAAGCAGCTGATGGTTAGTCGACCATGATCCTTATGTCGCTCAAGATAATTATATATAACATATTTGTATTGTTGCTATAAATTGTTACACTGCGTACAACCTACCTTGGGACTCATAGCAAAGTTTTTACAGAAGTAGTGCAGGTTCCAGGAAGGAAGAGAGCGTATCTCCAGGACCCCGTCATCTCGCGTTAGAATACACCAATGTGTCGCGTTGTGAAACTGGGCTACCATCAGAGGTCCCCTATCTTCTGGTTTTGTAGCCTGGAATATAAAACCGATATTTATCAAACGGTTAAAGGCGCAGTTATTTTTTAAAAATCGATTTCGTCCCATAAGTTTTAATCTTTGCCGACTTATATTTGTTTTGGTGTTACATACCTTGGTCTTGGTTGGTTTCTCTTCCGAGAATGGTTTCCGCTTGCTCTTGAATCCCTCAAACAGTTTATCAGAGTCTCCGTACAAAAGAGCATCCTCATCCAGCTCTTCTTCCATTTCTGTGTCCTTGGGAGCTTCTGTAGTCTCGCTAACCGTGGCCTCAGGTGCTGCCTCCACAACATCCTCAAGAGGCTCCGTTGAGAACAGGCCTGACTCGTCCGTATATGTAGTGATACACCTGCGCGGATTTAATATTTGATACAACAAACCACTGTCTCATTTCCATGGCCATGGGAACCAATTTTGCCAATATAATATGATCAACAAAATTGAAAATAATGCGACCTTTTGTTCTTCACCGAGCAACTTGTATTCTATCCTTGACTTTTGAGATTGCTGGCTTTAAATACCACGCAAGCTCATACGTCTACTGGCTAGACTACCAAACACCGCCTACATTTAATATCAGCAACAAGAGGAACGCCATTCATTACCAATTACTGCCAGGTATTGTTTAACATGAGTTTTTCCGTTATTTTTCCGTTTAAGCTAACAAAGTGAGCTTCAATTTCAAGATCTGGGAAAATACGCATACTGATTACTGAGTACTAAGAGCCTCCGTACAATTTCTGCAGTTTTCACATGGTCATTGGTCATTAAGTGGAACTTTTCATTCAAACAACTACAGTAATACCCCGATTAACCGCGCAGTTTGGGAGAAAGGAAAAAGCCGCGGTAAATGGAGGTTTGCGTAATTACACCATACGAGTTACTCTATTGTAATTTGAGGGTAGAAAGCATACAGCTATGAGCTTACTTCAGTGCACAGTTGAAAGGCAGTCCCCCGTTTCTCCTTATTTAGTGGAACCTGAGGGCTGCCACTTCCTGACCCCCATAGTACTGTAAATCTCATTGTATGGTGTTGAGAACTCTACTTGTTTTGTATGGTTCATTGGACACTATAGCTGCCATCCCTGTGGTAGACCTTAGTCACGGCCCAGCAAGGAAGGGCGTAACACTGGATCTCACCCATCGTGTGTATAAACCCCTACTCGCGATGTCTTTCTAACTTCTACTATTGATAGACAGACAGGAGTGCTATATTATAGTATATTTAACTATAGTGGTTCATGATCAAATTATCACAGTAGATTAATTTCTTAATAATTTTTCGTGTAGACATTTCTCATTGTGACTAGAACTCGAATATATTATTTAAAAACAAATAGAAGATAATATAATATCATGTTTTCAGTCTTTCGACTTGTAAGATAGGATGGGATTCAACATCAAGAACACAACCTGTTCTTATCAAGATTGCACGTTTGTTCTTGTCAACGGCAGCTGCTTGACTGGGATAGGTTTTATCGGATTCTTCATGAGCAGTGCTCTTCTACTGTGCTTCAAGTTCGACGTGATAAAACTACCAGGACCGAAAAAGATGTTTATGACGAACGTTGCTGTCAATGATGCACTGATTGGGATAGTGGCTATGATAAGAGGATTGGGCTTCATCTCAAAGAAAGTTGTTGGCGTCAACGAAGATGGATCAGTAAACGCATGGTGCTACATTTTCGTCTTTCTGGCTTATTTTGTTTGGAGCTCAATAATGTTCACCAAACTTCCACTAACCATCGACTGGTTTGTAGCTCTGGTGTTCCCACACAAATACAGCAAGTTGATCACCCCCAGAGTTACCCTAGTGATGATCATACTGTCGTGGGCACCGATGGCGATAACCCACCTCATACACGATCCGATAGCATTTTTAGCAGGAACGATGGCAGTAGAATACCATAGAAATTATGGTCGATGTATATTCGATGATCGTCGACCTTTGCTCCCGATTATGACGTTGGTGACACCACTACTTCTCATAGTTTTGATGTACTTGATGATATTTATCTCAATGTACAGACACAAAATTAAAGTGGGCCGGCTTCTCGTCACAACCTCTGCCATCGTTTTCTCTGGGATCCTTATCGTAACACCGCAGATCCTATTTTTTACACTACACCTCCGGATGTCCTACGAAGCCGCACAGATCTTCACGGTGACTCTCTATCACGCTGATTGTATCCTCAATCCCCTCATTTACTTCATAGCAAATCCCCGGATAATGTCCCAGATAAAGGCTCGGAGGAAGAGGGTTGGAAGGTCTCTGGAAACTGATTGGGCGACATCTGTCCGACAGCGACATCTGTCCGACTCAGAATATAGGTTATTTGGACAATAGTTTATGTCGGATCCTACAGTGTGATTTTCTTGAAACTTTCCATAAAGTATGGTGGTTATAGGACGAGTAATCTGTGTAAGTTTGGGCGAGTTTCTATGTGCCACATTTAAGATATTACCTTAAACACAAAAAATATATCCAATTCGGTGGTTTTCAGTGTAGTGGTTCCAAAGCGTATATCTGGAGATCTAACGATGCGATTTTCTTTCAACAGTTCTACTTTAGTTCTGTTTACCGTAAGAAATGGACATTTCGATGTTTGTCGATGGTGATACTGGGTTTAAAGTTAGGATTTTATAAGAACTGCAGACGAAGAAAATAATAAGTTTTTGAGTTTTTTCTGTGTAAATATTTTGACTCGATTAATATTCTTTGATTTAAACATACCATAGTTTTTTGACCGGACAACAATATATTAAAACAAAACAAAAATACACATTTGATCGTTTAAAGTGAACACAGCAAAAAATTGTGTATAGGAAACGACTGATATATAGGTTCTGCTTGGTTCAGGAGTTAATTAAAATCCATTGCTTCAGTCAGATGTTGATCATAAATCATAAAATAACCGAGATAATGATAATTGATCATTAGCCGCACCAAGCCTATAACATTCATTTCGGTTCAGGGTTTGGTTTAGCAATAAAAAAGGGTTTGTTCGGGTTCAGTAAAGTTTTCCCGGTTCAATCGTTTCCTAACTTGGTATATACTGTTATTTTGGTACGATAAAATCTAAATGCTTAAATTAAAAACATTAACTTTCTTATATATAATACAATAATATTTATAATCAATAAGCAATTTCAATATATATATATATATTCAACAGACATGCATCCTTGAACTGAAATGTTTCAGATTTGTTGAACTGAGCTTTTATAAATGTCTTAAAATAAAATGACTCATTCTTTCATTAAACTCTGAAAAAATGTCTTTCTTTGTTTTTGTAGTTTATGAATTATGATACATAAAACAGAAATGATGAATGAGTCTCAATGTTTCTGACTAACAGTGACTGCACAGAATTCAACGATTCAGAAAATTCTCCCGGTATCAATTTTTTTCAACAATAATAGACCTTATAGCTTAGGTATGATACAATCAGCCCCATTCAGTCGAACTAGAACTGGTTGAGCTATTCTTCAAATCTCTGACCGTAGCTTTTAAAATGCTGGCTGTATCCTTCATCATTTTTTTAGTCCACCGCCTATATCTTGGCATCCGTAACACATAAATACAAGGGTTCAGAGCTGCATTTAACTGTATAAGAAAGAAATGAGTGAGCAGATGTCCATAGTTCTTCAGGAATGGGTTGTTGGAAAGTTTTTCAATCCCGCCCTCACAAAACTGCGAAGCCAAGTAAATCATCTGGAGTAGGAACCCGGGGATATTACACAGAAGGAAAACTCCAGTGAAAATAGCGATTGTAATCGACACTCTTTTCAATTTCTTCTCATCTTCGTTAGGCATGGTTGTTTTCTTCATTACCATAGATATTGTACCCATTATGAAGCTGAAAATTACCAGTAGAACTGGAAGAAGGAGCTCAATTTGCAGAATACCGGAGTAGGAATAGGAAGCGTAGTGGCTTGATTGAGTGGGAGGAAATATCTCACAAAATCCTTCGTACTGCCGATAACTCGTTTCCAGCCACCCCAGCGAGAAGAACACAATATCAACTCCAGTTAGCAGAATTGCGTAACCCACAACGGAGGAGCTCACAGCGCGTCTGCTCAGCTCATGAAATGGGGTGACAAGCACAATGGTGCGAGTAACACTCACCAACATCGTGACAAACATGGACATCCTCACCAGCAGGTAGAAGAGAAAGGGCCACATTGCACAGAACAGGGAGTTCTCGAATAGTCCAGGAGCTCGGGAGCGGAAGAGAGTTGCTAGTACTGGTAAAGCCAGGGGTGATTTCAATACGTCTATCGCACTTATTATCGTGTAGAGAAAGGGTGGGATTGCTTTCTTTCTCTTCGGCCAAAAGTAAAGCAGGGCTAGGATATTTCCGAGAAGTCCGCATAAAGCAAGGAGGGATGCTATACTCGCAAGAGTGATATCTGCAGTATCATTAAAGTTCAATAAGATTGAATCTGTTAGGTTAGCTGCTGAGTCTGATATGTTTGCTAAAGTATCTTCAGAACAGTTTTTTAAAGGGCTTGGCAAGACGAGCTCTTCCGGTGATTCATCGGTGGTAGGTGACATGCTGGAATGATGGGTTGCTGACGGTTCCACACCGTAAGGGTCGAGGAACATTCCGGAGCGGGATCCAATTTCAGGCGTAGGAGTTGGGAAATCTATCATCGGAGCGGAAGTGGTAACTGGCATTTTGTTCCTTAAAGGTATTTATTAACTTGACGTGAAAGGCTCCAAGGATTTACAGACATAACAACTATAAAAATAAGTAAAAGAATATATATCAATATTACAATATATTCGTCTAAAGCTTTAAAAGCTGGCATTTCCGGGCGTAAAAAGTTAATAATTGCTCACAAGAATCTTACAAGCAATTTTTTTTGGCAATATAAGAAAAGTGCACCGATTTTTCGAGCATTATAGCTACATATTGACTATAGTTTGGATTAAATTCTAGAAGTAATTAGCAAATCTAATATATAGTATTAATACCGTTGTCTGCCGCACTGTCTTAATAACCTTACTGAGATTAGGTAGAGCATGACGAGCAACAAAATACGGTAAAATAAAATATTAAATCTCAAGTACAGGATCTGGATCTAATACTGGAAAATGTTGCAATGAAATTAAATGCAACGTTCATGACGACAGCTGGGGTTGATAAGGATTAATTCAGGAAACAGAAGTTCTCCAAGCTCAAAATTTGATGAAATCACTTGAAAATGCCTTAACTTTTGATAAACCGAAATAAAACACAATGTTTAAAACAAATTTGTGGACTGATGTGAGGTCGAATAGTTTGAGTTTCAACACTATCATCAACTTAACAAAGTAGAAAGTTAGTTACAGGCTACTTTAAA